TCTCCCTCTCCCTTTCTGAGAGCAAAGTTATTTTCCTATTTCCAGCTGGGTGTGCAAGTATCACTTTTACTAAGTTCTAGAGATATAGAAGTGAAAAAGATAAGCAGCAGATTCTTGCCTAAGTCCAAAGTCTTAGAAACAGGATCTCTCTCCAGGGCAGGCTATGGAAATTAATTCTGTTACTGAAATTTACTCAAGTATGCTTTGAGTTAAATTTAGCTTAGTTGGCATTTTTTTATTGTTGTTTGGGGTTTTTTTTTATGTATTTAGTACAGGGTCTACAGGGTCTCACCACACAAATTGGACTTGTGGTCCTTCCTGTTTTTCAGCCTCTCAAACACTGAGATTACAGGCATGCCACCATCTCAGCATGCCCAGGGGACAGGGCTGGCACTGCAGGGCAGGGATTGAACCCCCAACCCTTGCATCTACCTAAGCAGGGGCTTTAATCAGCTGAGCTGTCTGGCTGGCCCTAGTTTGTTTTCTCATAAGGGAAGGAGCCAAAACTTTCCCACAAATCAATTAAGACTTTTTTTTCCCTAAAATACAAAAAGAAAGAAAGAAAGAAAGAAAGAAAGAAAGAAAGAAAGAAAGAAAGAAAGAAAGCCTTTTGTCATTTGGTACTGCAAATCTGTACTACGTTTTTACCAAAAAAAAAAAAGTTGCTAAGTATTATTTCAGTAAAAATAGATGGGAAGGAAACATCCTAACAATTAGTGGTAGTTACATTTGAATATTTAGAGATATGAGTAGTTTTAGAAACAAATATAGTATGGGATGGATAAAGAACTAATGAATATATATCATTTTATACTGGGGGAAGTATCAAATAGGATTCTTTTTCAGGATTAGAATCCTATTTGATACTTCCCCCAGGTGTCAGGTGCTGAGTTTAGTAGCATATCAGTGCATGTACCCACCTCTTTGGTCTCCAGGCAGGCATTAACAGGTTCAAAGACAATTTGATGCACAAGCGAGAGGGCTAGTTTAATTATGTGTAGTGTAATTGCTGTTATCAGATGGACAGAATAATAATGCCATAGCTGTCTCTCTCCCTGTAGGCAAACCTGCACGCCGAGTCTAGCTGTAGTCGGGAGCTGCTCAGTGGGCAGAGAGTGGAAGCAGAAGTGGGCTGAGTGGGCCTTCAGGCCAGGTGGGCCGGTTGTCATGGCTCCATGCCCCTCCCATTTATAGGGATACTCTGCCACATAGGCAGGTATTTGTGTCCTCACCTTCAGGTCCATGAT